ACCATGTCCCCAGTGTAGAGGAGATTAAGGAAGTTTTCTTTAGCATGGATGGTCTGAAATCTCCTAGGCCAGATGGCTTACATGCGTTGTTTTTTCAATCGCAGTGGAATTCTGTGGAGAATTCGGTGGTGGATTTGATTAAGGGGGTGTTTACCAACCCTATCAAAATTAGGGACATTAACTAGTCCTTAATCTGCCTCATACCGAAGGAGGACAACCCTGAGGTTATTAGCAAGTTTCGTCCGATTAGTTTGTGCAATGTGGTTTTCAAAGCCAAAACTAAGATCGTGGCCAACAGGCTAAAACCCCATTTAGGCTCTCTTATCATGCCTAATCAATGTAGCTTCATCAGAGGAAGACACAGTACTGATAACATTATCATAGCCCAAGAGATAATGCATTCCATGAAGATCAAGAGAGGATCAGTGGGGTGGATGGCCTTAAAAGTGGATTTACAGAAGGCCTATGATAGAATTAATTGGAGCTTTCTTTGCAACACTTTGGAGGATATGGATCTGCATCACAGTACGGTGGAGTTGATTATGGAGGGCGTTACTTCAACGACGATGAGTGTACTTTGGAATGGGAACAAGACGGACGAGTTTCAACCTTCTAGGAGCATAAGACAAGGAGACCCCCTCTCTCCTTATCTTTCTGTCTTGTGTATAGAGAGGCTTGCGCACTTGATCATGGAAGCGGTGAATAAGAAGCTCTGGAAACCGGTTTGTTTAAGAAGGAAAGGGCCTCCCATCACTCATCTTTTCTTTGCTGATGACCTTCTGCTCTATGCAGAGGCATCTGTGGACCAGGCGAGAATCATCAAAGGAATTCTAGATTGCTTCTGAAGTTCCTCTGGCCAAAGAGTTAGCAAGGAGAAAACTAGGCTGTTCTTCTCTAGGAATGTCAATCAATCCGGGACCGCAGAAATAGCTCAGCTTATGCAATTCTCCATTGCACCTGACTTGGGAAAGTATTTAGGTATCCCTTTGATGTTTGGGAGAGTCAAATCCTCTACTTTCAACTATGTCATTAAATGGATAGACCAGAGACTTAATAGTTGGAAAATGAGCTCCTTATCTCTGGCGGGAAGATCAACTATAATTCAATCTGTGATTGCAGCCACACCCTCGTATACGATGCAGTCTTGTTACTTACCAAGCAGTCTGTGTTTGGATATTGAGAAGTGTTCTAAAGACTTCCTCTGGGGATCAACCATTGAGAAGAGGAAGATTCATTCGGTTTCTTGGAGTAAGGTTTGCAAACCGAAGAAGGAAGGTGGATTGGGCCTGAGGAGTGTTAGGGAAAATAACTTAGTGTTCATGATGAAGATAGGGCATGGTTTGCTTACTAACAAAGATCGCCTTTGGGTTCAAGTCCTTAGGAACAAATACAATGTGGACGACGAGTTGATGCCTACCCTGAAACCAGTTAGCAATGCGTCTAATTTATGGAGAGGCATCTCAAGAGCATGACCCAAGATCATCCAGGGATCAAGGATCTAATTAGGGGATGGCTGCCAAACAGTTTTCAACAAAGATATTTGGCTCCCTGGAAATGCAAGGGTGCAACTTAGGGATGACGTAGACCGTACGGTGGAGGCAAATGACGTAGATCTTTGTTCATGCCATATTTTGTCTAAGTTTAGTTGATGATTTACCATGTTATATTTTGAGGTTTATTTCATTGTATTATATTTGGAGGATTTGTTGTATTATACTTTCATTGGAGAAATGTAAATTGCAATTACTTGATCTTGTGTAATCTTGAAGTATGATGTATGATGAAAGGGCAATAGGCCTATTTTAGGTTATAATTATGTGTATGTTTAAAGAAAGCATGCAAATGGATCAAAGTGATTGAAATGGTTTAAGTTTTATAATGTAAGAAATGAAATGTAAAGTGAGGAATTTGATATAAATTTTTGAGGGTTGTAAGAGCACCAAAGCATTGCTGGTCCTTAAATGTCACCCATGTCTATTAGGTACCAATTGAGGAGAGTAACACACTTTTGATAAAGTGGGATAGGTTGAATAAACAAAGGAGATGCCGTCGAATTTTCTAGAAAATGGCAGGTTTTGGGTGAACTTTGGGAGAGCATATCTCCCTCCACAGAAGTCCAATAGGGATGTTCCATACACAATTTTAAAGATTGAGATGCCAATTATATTGTGTCAAAATTTGGTAGCTATTGGAGTTGTACAAAGACTTGTAGAAGCAGTTGAGTACAGACTGTCCTGGACGTCCTACTGCAAGGGCTGTTGGGAGACCGATTTTGGGAAATTTATTTCTCCATCAATTCTTGGTCAAATTAGGCCTATCATATGTCAAATTTAATCTTGAGATGTCTAGTTTACTGCATAAAAATTGAGAGAAATTGGTGGAGTAGTTTGTCCAAAATTGTTGAAAGAGTAGAGGCTGTTTGGAGCTCTGTTTGAGGTTGGCTAGCAGCTTTGCTTGTCCAACTTCAAACGGTGATAACCGGAGCAAACGAGAACTTTATAGAGCGTGTGATAGCTTTTTGGAAAGATAATTAAGTACAAAATAATATACTAAAATATGAGAGACTCGTAACCACTAAATCTCTCGTAATGTCCAGATTACTGAACCATGTTCAGTTATTTAAAAACTGTAAAAGTGAGAATTATGCTATGTGAGTTTATGGGAACCCCTTAGCGACTTGAGAGAAGCATTATATGATAGTTAGGTATTATTTATAATTATTGCGTGTTTAGTTTTCAGTTATGATCACAGCTTTTACTCATTACGTTTTATTATTGTTTTAAATGCTTATGTAATGAAAAGAAAAAAGTTTACTCGCATTTTTAAATGAACTGCTATGATTGTAACTGCGCTTAATATCATAATCAATGTTAACACCGGTACGTAACGGGCTGTTACATTATTTTTTTTAACAACACTATAACATGCAAGTTTTCTTTTTTTAATGTATATAACACGTGAATCGGTTTTAAAGATATGGCCATTATTAGTTTTGGGTTTGTTTTTTTGTTTTTTTATATTCAAATATAACAAATAGTTGATATTGAGAATATTTTTGCTTGTGTTTCATATGATTAATTCTTCTTAAAATTATTATATATCTAATAATATTTTATTCTGTCATTAAAATTTTAATTTTAATTTATATTATTGTATAAAAAATTATATAATTACCCAATTTGACATATTATCATATTTTATCATCTTTGCGCAGGCCCATTGAAGACCAGAGCAAAGCGCAAAGAACAAACACAGACGTGATGCCCTCATCGCGAAACACAGACGCGATGCCCTCATTGCGACACACAAGGCGCGATGCCCTCATCGCGACACACAAGACGTGATGTCTTCATCACATCACACAAGACGCGATACCCACATCGCGTATGAAACCTTCTATAGGAAGTAAACTTAAGGCCCAAGGCAACTCCACCGCACCTTAACTCCAGTAAACAACGGACAACTCCAGCTTGCCACAACTCTACTACTAGACACTATGGAAGATAAGGCTACTCAGGTCCCCTAACTGACCTGCAGCTAGAGGTGTTCATCAACAGATCCAAACCGATTCAAACCGCGGTGACCGAACCGAAAAACCGATAACCGAATAAATCAAAAATCGAAAAACCGAGAACCGATTAAAAACCGCAAATTTTAATTGGATTGCATCGGTTTTTGGATGGGTTGATGAAAACCGATCCAATCCAAACCGATCCAATATATTAATTTCCCTCTACCTACTTGAGTATTTCCCTAATCATAACCTAAAAATTTCTAAACCCAAGAAAAAATCTAGTCATATCTCATCAACAAGATTTTATCTTTGTAGAGCTTCATATCTCATTGCCAATATTAAAAAAATTATATTATAGTTTACTAATGCTTTTGTATTTCAAAAAAAAAAATTACAAAGCCAATATATACAAAAGATGTTATTTGCACAATAATCATGAAATAAATTTTAAGATTTTCAAAAACCGAAAATCGACCCAATCCAAACCGAAAAAAATTAAATTGGATCGGATCGGATTTGAAAAAAAAATCAAAACCGAATGAATGATTATATGATCAAACCGAAGAAATTGGATCGGATGATTTTTGCTTCCAAAACCGATCTAATCCAGACCGCGAACACCCCTACCTGCAGCCCAAGGCTGGCCACTCAGAAGCCAAGCCGCCTTAATTAAGGTGGCATCTTAACTACTATATAAGCAAACGATATACCACCAAGGTACGATCATCTTTACTTAATCAACACAAAAACACCTGCCTCTGATACTGACTTAAGCATCGGAGTGTCTTCCCAGGTACCCCCAATTTGGTGCAACACGCCAACGAGAAGGACAAAGCTCAAGCACTCTCCAACAGCAATACCAGGCCCAGACCACTAACAACGTAAGCTGATTCAACCGTGTGTGATTGGACTCGATACATATAGGCCAGTCGATACTGTATTTGGTCTGATCACATATCTTTTTAATAAATTTATATATAAAAATTCATTTTTAATTTTAACATCTAACGACTCTTTTACTTTAAAGTGTCTTTCAATATTGCATAAAAACGTAGTTGTAAATTTTACGAAATTTCCTTCTAATTTTCTTTTTCAATATCCATTCATTTTTGGTTTTTCATTTTCATTTTCATTTTCTTTTTTATTATTATTTTTATTGTGTATACATATATATATAATATTTATATTTGTTTTTATTATTTTAATAATGATTGTACATTATAAATTTATTAATGATTGTAGATTATATTCTTCAGTGCCGGCAGATTAATGTGAAAGGATCCAACGATAAAGAAATTGGGGAAAAATTCGACCGTTGAGTGGGAGAAGCTTCGCCTCCTACAGCTACAAAAGAGAAGGGGATTTTTCACTGCCCCATCTCTTCTCATTCTTATTCACATTCATCCATTCTACGCAGCCACAGAGAAAGAACGAAGAAGAAGAAGGAGGACGAGGATTATACAATCAAGACCAAGAAGAGTTTGAAATGGCTTCAAGACCCATTGTTCCAAAACAAGCCAGAGATATTGTCTTTTTGGATGATTGTATATAAATATCGTTCTTTTGAATATATTTCTGTTCTTTTGAATCTATCTAGTCACTGTATGAATACAATGGACAACAAGATGCAATAACGAATAATTCTTGTCTGGGACTTTACAAATCTGTTCAAAATCAAAGACAAGTTTGGTTTCAGTTTTTTCCGGGTCTGGTCCCCCAATGTTATAGGAGGCCCTTTTATTTTATTTTATTTTAATTTTAATTTTAATTTTTTTAACCTTAGTATGGTGCATGTGAATCTTTGTTTAGATCGAAAGCTGTCATATTTTTTTTAATGGGGTGTTTTTTTTTTTTTTTTTTTTTTTGCAATGACATAGGCCAGGCTATGGTTGGCGGAGGAAAGCAACAGAAGAAGAACGATGCAACAGAGGAAAGGAACCGCAAAGCACTTGGCGATATTGGAAATTTAGTCACCTTAAGAGGATTTGAGGACAAACCCAATCGTCCCATTACAAGGTACTTTTTTTTTCTCTCTCTCTCTCTCTCTCTATGTGTGTGTGTGTGTGTGTGTGTGTGTGACGTGTGCCTATTAATCTAATATTTTTATGATTGTTTTAGGAGTTTCTGTGCCCAACTACTTGCTGAAAATAACAAGGTAAACTACTTATATAGCTTGTTCCATCTTGCTTTGTTTGATTGTTTAATTTAATTTCATTATACAGCATACAAAAAAAAATAACAAACTCTGTGTGTCTGAACCATGTTATTATGTTTTATGTCTTGACAAGTTCTTGGGATGTTCTGACTCAGGCAGCATGTGGTCTAACTAAAAAACCGAAGGTTGAGATTGTTGATATTGATGCTGGTGATGCTGGGAATGAGCTTGCTGCTGTGGAATATGTTGAAGATATTTACATGTTCTATAAGGAAGTGGAGGTGTCAAACATGATTGATATTCCCTTGATGTTACTTTTTTAATTTTAATTTTGTTTTCTCTTTCTTTTTTGTTGTTGTTGTGTGTGATGTAATGGGGTTCTAATTATGTTACTGTGAATGGTGATGCATGAAGAACGAGAGCCTTACCCAGGACTACATGAACACACAACACCAACCTGAGATAAATAAGAGAATGAGAGAAATACTGATTGATTGGTTGATGGATGTCCACTCAAAGTTTGAACTTTCACTTGAAACCCTTTATCTTACCATTAATATAATTGATCGGTTTCTATCAATTAAGACAGTGCCAAGAAGGGAACTGGAATTGGTTGGTGTTGGTGCCATGCTGATGGCATCCAAGTATGAAGAAATATGGCCCCCTCAGGTTTGATGCATGTTCACTATCATCAGTACTATTGGCCTCTTCAATGTCAAAAAGATATAAGCTGAGATAACAAACACTTGTTTTGCAGGTTAATGACTTTGTCTGCCTTTCAGACACAGCTTACACTCATGAACAGATTCTGGGGATGGAGAAAATCATACTTGGCAATCTGGAATGGACTTTGACTGTGCCTACACCATTTGTTTTCCTAGTTCGCTTTATCAAGGCATCAGTTCCTGATCAGATGGTGAGTGACACCTTTTGATTCAAATCTTTTTGTTCATTTTCATTTTGATATCTCATGTGAAATATTTTTTGTTTATACACTGTTGTTTTCAGTTGGAAAACATGGCCCATTTTCTTTGTGAGCTGGGAGTGATGCATTATGCCACCTTAGTTAAGTATTGCCCATCAATGGTTGCTGCCTCAGCAGTCTTTGCAGCTAGATGCACTCTTGATAAGAGCCCCGTTTGGAATGAGACACTTAAGCTACACACGGGTTACTCAGATGAACAACTAATGTAATATATTCTCCAAATATTGTGTAGTATTTTATTTTACTATTCATTATTATTATTATTATTATTATTAAATTGTTGATTCATTCAATTTGGCTTTGTTGGTTCCAAACAGGGAATGTGCTAGACTACTGGTCAACTTCCACTCCACGGTTGGAAATGGAAAGCATATGACTGTGTACAGAAAGTACTCTCATCCTCTGAGAGGGGCTGTTGCAGGGCTTCCATCAGCTAAGAATCTTCTAACCGAAGGTTCTACATCAATTTGCCCGGAACATTCTTAGTTTTATGTGGGATTCGGCAATAACTATTTGTTATTGTAGTATGGTATTGATTTTAGGGAAATGTATTTGTGCTGTCGCAGGAAAAAAAATTTGTTTCATGCACAGACATCGAACTATGCGCTTTCTTTTCTGTTTAATTTTATTGTTTTTTAAATGTATGGAGCCCACTTTTGTCTCTCTGCATGACAAAATGCTCAGTTATGTTACATGACGAAATGTAATCCCTTTGATTTTATATGGGATTTTGCAACTGCGTTCAATATGTTTTTTTCTTTGTTTCTTTTTTCTTTTACAAGCCCATTTGTACTCATTTTATGTGGTATTTTTTGGCAATGGTATTGGTTTTTTTACAAGCCCATTTGCATTCGGGTAAAACAAAATTTGACTTAGAAGTTGCAACCTTTCCGTTTTGTGCATTAGGGTAAAACAAAATTTGACTTAAAAGTTGCAACCTTTTCGTTTTTGAATATAGTTCATCGGGAGAAGACTATATTTACAAATTTTTTGTTTATAAACTGCACTATCTAATTGGTGATATACTCTTGATTGAAGTCTGATCAGTCATATTTAGTATAGTTTGTAAAAAAAAAAAATTAAATATAAGATTCCCTGATTCATTAAGTAAGCATAATGCAACACCTTTTGAAATAATCCTGTTAAAATTTTCAAGTCAATTACAAGCAATTCTATGATTTGTGGAGAGCGACAATTCCCAATACCCAAATAAATAGTGATTTATTTAATTTTTTTAAGCCCCTCAAAATGTCTTATTTAGTAGTCTCATACCTTGGACAATAAAGATTCCATGAGTTCAAAGCAAAAGAACTAACCATTGACAGTGTAGGATACACTAGATCCGGCTCGGTTATTGATAGAGTGAATAGATCTGTCATTTCTTGAAATATCTCTTCTGATTCAAAATCGTGGTGTAACGTGTATCCCCCCCTATTCCGGTCATGGAATAGATGAAATAAACCAAAAAACGGATTTTTGTTCAAGAATGAAATCTTATTGGAACCGTCCAGTTCATGCAGTCACCCTACGACATGTCAAGTGTGTGTGTTTTTTTGTTAGTATTTGGGTATCCTAGAGAAAATTTTATGATTAAATAAGGACATAGATGTAGACCTTTTTAATATTGTCGCAAATAAATAAAAGTGCTCTTTATCTTGTTTCATAATTCTGTCTCGATATTAATGTTGATATATTATGAATAACTTGATAAACCCCGTGGAATAAAATAGGTATCTCTTGAGTATCTGTGATGAGATCACGATCATGAGGATTCAAGAATACCGGATGTTTATTCCTAATTTTATGTTCCTAGTCTAGAGATACTGAGAATGGGGTCAGTAATCTCGGGTAAGACTAGCACGACTTATCTACTTGTATATGGATACAAGGTATAGACCTCATGTGCTACAGATATGGAGATGTCTTAGCTAAAGTCGTGGGTGGACCTATAAGGGTATAGCTCGCACTAAACAGACCCACAAAAAGACTCTATGAGGAACTCTCACAGAGAGTATCATTAAAGTAGTCTCTTTATATTTGGGTATGTCTTTCCTAAGACCAGAAGTTATTACCTAGACTGTGTTCTAGAAGGCATATTTTGATTGTGCACCTCGTCTGCCTGAAACATGGAGACTCATAGGTATATTGTTGGCCTTGTCCTGAAAGAACACAGGGCTAGGGTGATAAGCTGGAGGAATTCGTCAAATCTCTGTGAGAGATTAGGTTATCTGTAAACCGGAGAAATCGGGATGACATTTACAGGGACTCGGGAATCTATGCATAGTAAAAGAGATCATGAGATGATCTGCCTTTAGAGTCTGTAAATTGAAGATTCCCTATTTCGAATAAAGCTTACCCTAAACCGCAGGGGTTAATACGCTACCTTATCCTAGGTTTTATGGGAAGGTAACCGAGACGAAAGGAAATATATACGGCAACCAAATATGTGCAATAGGATGATCAAGTCACTAATCTAACTAGTTCTGGGGAAACAAAGCATTGCTAGTGCTCTGTGTTGTCATTAGATGAGTTGTGGGCTTATTGGGCCCAAGCCCATTTATGTCAGTGGCTATGTTGAACCTAATGGGTCACACACTAACACCTAATTGTCTAGATGCTCTAACATTAATGGTATTGGGCCTAACAATTGTTATTAGCCCAAGAAGTAGTTTGGAACTCCACAGATAGGGTGGAGGGCGCATGGATCTAAGTAATGGGCTTGGATAGTCCAAGACATTACTAATTAATTTAATTAGTTAAATTAATTATCAAATGTTTAAATTTTGAATTTTGAATTTGAAATTTGAATTTTGAAATTTGAATTTTGAATTTGAATTTTGAAATTCGAATTTTGAATTTTGAATTTGAAATTTGAAATTTGAAATTTGAATTTTGAATTTGAATTTTGAAATTTGAATTTGAATTTAGAATTTGAATTTGAATTTAAAATTTAAGTGTTTGAAAGTTTGAATTCAAATGTTTGAAATTTGAATTTGAATTGGGTATGAAAAGTTGTTTCATAACAAAGGGATAAGATGAGATCTTGTTGAAACATATCAAGAGGAAATCTTTTGGACATAATCTAAGAAGATTTGGGGTGCTGATTTGGCTGTTGGTTAGTCATCAGAATCAGCTCCAGAAGATACGATCTGTTGGGAGAATATTTGAGTGATTTGATTCAAGTTTGAATGCAACTACTCAAATGTATCTGGTCATTATTTAGGCTATATGGGGCGCACCATATAACTGATTATATGATGATTTATGATCAGATATTTGATTAGGTTTTGAACCTAATATATCATAAAGATATGATAGGATGTTGTTGGTAAGATTTGATGAGATTTGATTTGCAACAAATCCTATTCTCTCTCTCTTTGATGGAGCGCCCTTTTGGAAGGGATTTTTATTGATTAAAAATCTGATTTGTTTTTAACAAATAGGCTCCTCTTGTGCGCCTCTATATATATGTTCCTTCTAGGGTTTTTAGAAAACCAACCAAGCCATTCTCTTCTCCTCTCCTGCGCCACTTTTGTGAAGTTTTCACATTGAAAGCTTCACTCTTTCAAACACTTTTACCTAGCCTTTCTCTTCACACAGTGTGCGCTTAGCAAGCATCATTGTAGTGATCACTTGGCGGTTTCACAAGAAGGAGTTCTTGCACCTAGACGCAGTGGGTGGTGTGGATCAACGTTAGAGGGTCTGAACCCTTCAGACCTACCTTGATCATCACGAGTTTTCACGAACAAGCATGCATCGGCCTTCAAGGCCATTTCCAACTTTCAAATGGTATCAGAGCCCGGTTGCTTTACCATAGACGGGTGATGGTACCTTGTTTGTGATCATATTTTTCACGGTTAAAATTTTTTTAAAAGTTAAAGATTCAATTTTTATGTATGGATTTTAATTTACAATACTTTAAACAGTTAAAGTTTTCGTTTTTATGAACATGTTATTTCGAATGCTATGTTCATGAATCCATATGTATACATGGTTGTTTTTACTTTATAAAAGTTTTAAAAAGGAAACACCTTTTTGAAAGGTGTAGTTCGACCATGAAAGATGTTTTGAACACCTTGATTGTTTTCTTATTTTTCTTCATGAATTGTTTCAGAAACATGGCATGAAATTTTTTGAAAATTTGAATCATATACTCTTGTATATGGTTCGGCCATATTGAGATTTATGGCTACATGCATGGTTTAATTTTATGTTCTTTGAGAAAGAATCAATAAAATTTGAATTAAATAAATTGTTGTTTAATTCGGCCAATTGAAGAATTAAGGAAAATTTAGAATTTTAATTATGTTTTAATATTTAATGGTTAAATATCAAGACATACGTGAAAAATATATTATATGATAATATTTTTGTACTTGTGAGTTATCTAACATTTCAGGTGCAAAAGAGGAAGGGGATGGTCATGGTGCCCGGAATTTGAAATTTTTAAATTTTAAATTAATTTGTAATTTTGGGCTCTTTTACAAGAGATATAATTTAAATTTCAAATTTTTGTAATTTAAATTTTGTCCCTCCAAAATGTTTTGGAGTTTCTTTAATTGTAATTAGAGAAATTAGTCTAGTGGCGTATAGACGACAAGAAGCCGAGGCTTGAGAAGCAAGATGGACAAAAGAGCGAGCACCATGACTATCTCAAAATAAAACTGTTTTATTTGCATGTATGTTATTATACGACTAGTATGCATGAGATAGAGTATCGCGATATGTATGCTTTATGGCTTATGACGTCTAGTATGCATGAGTTGGACTAAATCGCGTTTGTATGATTATTATGCAAGTCCAATTGCGACTAGTTTAAACCGTTAGATGTATGACATAGGTTACGACTAGCATGATAATATATTAATGTGTTTGATGAGACTTAATAAACCCTTAATAAAATGAACCCTTAAAAGGAATAAAATTATTAAGCGCATGATTACCTCCCACCACCAATATTACTCAAACCTCCTCTAAATAGTGGTGCTCTACAACCCAGTTGGGACCCACTGTTTCGTTGAGTAAGAGTAGTATTAGAAGTGTAAGACACTTGGGGTGCTGGTTAGTGCTTAACTGAGACATAAGCTGCAGGCCCAGCCAGGCTTATGTGCTTAGGGTAATAGTGCTAGGTTGGTTGCATGAGATGCACCACTAAGTGACAAGGAGTTGTCAACCTAATGTTAAGAAAGGGTATGAGATACCATTGATAAAGATCAATCCATTATTTAAATTAATCTTGCGGTCTCAGACGGGGGTTAAAATAAATAATCGCATTCTTAATCCTACTAAGGTAAATTCTAAAAGTAGAATAACCCTAAGTCAAAAGGAAGGGTCATTGACTTAGATAAAATAGTGGGAGGGACAAATTAATAAAAGTCTTTAATAATTTGTTTTTACTATATGTCCAAATATTAATTAATTTTTATCTTTACATTTTCAGTTAATTAGTATGACTAATACATTGTCACTGCGCTCCATACTTGATA